CCTGGCTCGGAATATGACGCGGCCTTTGCGTCTCAGGAGGAGACTGGCCGAGCCATTCTCTCTGTCCTTAAGCTTCGACATGACTTTCTGCGGAGCAAGAACATCGACGACATGCGCTACGTTCTCACGGAGCCTGAGCGCCAGAAATTGGTCAGAGTAGCTCGCGACCAGTACGAGCAGTCGCGGCAGCAGCGTGCGCTTCAGGAACGGGATATCGAAAAGGGAAAAGCGAAAGGCAAGTCTGCGCCTCAAGGGGGCCATGCGGTTCCGCAGGGTCCGAACAAAGGGCCAGGCGGTAAGAAAGGTTCTCACGGTGCTTCTCAGCCTGCGGGAAAAGGTGGCCAGGCCAAGGGTGCAGGTCTGGGTAGCGTCGCCAAGTTTGTGAAAGACCAGAAGCGTAAGCGGTGGCAACGCCATTTGCAACGTGTGGCCGGTACTAAACAGATCTGGGAGGTGCTGGCCTTCTCAGGGCGCTTCGACGTTGATTGGTTAACGCAAGCGTTGCAAGCTGTTCACAGTGAGGGCCGTGATGCAGCAGTTCCCGAGGAAGCTCTGCGGCAACAGCGGCGCCGGCTGCACCACCAGAAGGCCGGGGCCATCGCGCGCTACAACGAGGGGGAGCGGCTTTCCCTATATCTGTCTGCCCAGGCTGGCCAGGCAAAGCCGAACTTCACGCGCAGGCAGCAGGACGTGTTGCAGATGTTTGAGAGCGGAGCGCTGCTTCAAATCCGCAACCAAGCGATTCTGGCGTGCGGGCACGGCCGTATGTTCAGGGGCGATGGCGACTACCTGGACATCGGCGGCAGCACGGGCGGTGGCTCCAGGCGCATCATCGATTCTTGGCAGCCGCCGGACTGGCGTGACTTCCTCCAAGACGATCAGGACATCTGAGTTTTGCAATTCTCTCTGCCCGCGGTGCTTCTCAGCCTGCGGTCTGCCGCTCTCCAGCTGCGGTCTCGAGCAGTAGTGTTCGAAAGCATGCGAGTTCCTGCGGTGCTTCTCAGCCTGCAGGTTTCGCAGCCTGCGCTCTGCAGTACAAGTGCTTTTCAGCATGCGACATCCTGCGGTGCTTCTCAGCCTGCAGGGTTCGCAACGTGCGGGTTGCAATGCATTCCTTTTCAGTATGCGAGTTCCTGCGGTGTTTCTCAGGCTGCAGGGCTCCGAGGCTCTTCGCTTCGATGCCATTGTTTTCAGACACCGTAGCTCCGTTCAGTAAACGTCTTCCAAGAGCCGCTCGCAACCTTTTGCAGCTGGCTGTCTGAACGCTTCGCCGGCTTTTGCTGCGCGGACAATTTTCTCACACACGTCAGCGCCGTTTGTAGGCGTCAGAAAAACATGTAGACATTCACGAAGGGCTCAGTCTGTATATCGTCACATCATTACTTACGCAGTCGTCGAACACATCGGTGTACATTCAGCGCTTTGTCCTTCTAGCTGGGTTGCTTCGTGCTGAGGCTGAGGCTGATGCAGGCTGAGGCTGAGGCAGGCTGAGGCTGAGGCCGAGGCTGACGGCAGACTGAGGCTGAGGCTGAAGCAGGCTGATGCTGAGGCAGAGGCAGGCTGAGGCTGAGGCTGTGCAGGCTGATGCTGAGGCAGGCTGAGGCTGGGAGAGCCTGAGGGCTGCTGCAGGTCTGAGTTGAGGCAGTCTGAGCTGAGGCTGAGGCTGAAGGCAGACTGATGCTGAGATAAGCAGGCTGAGGCTGAGGCCTGAGCAGCTGAGGCTGAGCAGGCGAGGCAGGCGGAGCTGAGGCTGAGGCAGGCGAGCTTGAGCTGTTGACTGCGCGACGGCCGTTGCCCGCTTGCACATGTCATCGCGAAGCGACTACAACTGCGAGAAACCGCAGAATCGACCACTGGATTTTCACATCTGAATCTTAAGGAATGCTTTCAGATATGCTTCTACACATCGCTTTTAGTTGCTTTGCCGATAAGGAGGATGGGGCGACGAAACGCCGTTTTGGGCATGACAGACGGAGTTTCGGCAATTTTCGGCGGCCGGCGGTACGGGCCGAATGCCCACTGGGAGTTTCTTTAGAAAAAGAACCAAACCAAAACATGAAACGTCAGACACCCGTGCACCCCAGCAAGCGGGGGGCGCCCGGATCGAAGACGCCTACGGCGAATCACCCCCGCCCCCTGCCTTTTTGGAAACGCCGATGTGGCCGAAAGTTGGACTAGAGCTTGGCCAAGCTATCGGACCATGAGTTCCCCGAGTCGGTTTGGAAAGCTTTCGGGGAACACATGGGAGAGAATAATTATGAACAGGAAGAGGAAGAGGAAAAAATAGAGTAGGAGGATGAGGGTTGTTAGGAGTCTCTTGGGGCACCCTTGGGGTCTGTTGGGGGCTTCTTGGGGGCCTCTTCGAGGCCTCTTGGAGGCATCTTGGGGGCCTCCTTGGGCCTCTTGGGGGCCTTTGGGGGCTTCCTGGGGGTCTCTTTGGCCGTCTTAGGGCGTTCCTGGTCCGTCTGACGCCGTCTGAGCCGTCTTGGGGGCCTCTCTGGGCCGTCTTGGGGCCCTCTTGGGGCGCTTCAGGGCCGTCTTGGAGGCCATGTTGGGCGTCTTGGAGGCCTCTTGGGGCGCTCTTGGGGCCGTCTTGGGGGGCCCTTGGGCCGTCATAGGGCCTTCTTGGAGGCCTCTTGGGCGATCTTGGGGGCCTCTTGGGCCGTCGGAAGGCCGAAAAGAAGAAAACGCAAAAAACATTCAAAAACCTAAGGAAAACCAATGATTTTGGCCTCTTCGGGCTCTCCTGGAGAACGTCTTGGAGGCCTCTTGGGCCATCTTGGAGGCATCTTGGGGCCATCTTGGCCGTCTTGGAGGGCATCTTGGGCCGTCTTGGAGGCATCTTGGAGCCATCTTACCCGTCTTGGAGGCCATCTTGGCCGTCTGGGAGGCATCTTGGAGGCCATCTTGGGCCATCTTGGCCGTCTTGGAGGCCATCTTGGGCTAAGTTGGGGCAGGAAATTGGGGAATTGAGCTCCTGGGCATCCTTTCCGGGTGGCTGGCGGGACGGGCCGAAGCCCACTGGGGAGTTCTTTTAGAAAAAGAACCAAAACCAAAACCTGACAGCTCATCCAGCACGCCGTGCACCCCTGCAAGCAGGGGGCGGCGGATACTGGTCTTCGGCCCATCCCGCCACCGTGCCTGGGTTGTGGGATGTTCGTTCGGATATCGTGGGGGGCCTCTCGGGGGTCTCTTGGAGGCAGTTTGGAGGCCTCCTGGAGGCCGTCTGGGGCCCTTTGGGGTTTCTTTTTGGCTGTTTTGGGAAGCTCGTGGGGTCTCTTGGCCTCCTCGGGGTTTCTTGGGGCGGAATGCTCGAACTTTCGGCCCGTGTTCCCCCTCTTGGGGCAGTCTTTGGGCTCTCTTGAGCCGTCCTGAGCGCTTCTTAGGCCGCTGTGGGGCCCTCTTGGGCCGTCTCGGGGAAACCTCGACCTACCGTTCTGCGTTGGGTTTTGCCAGCATTGGCGCCCAGACGGCAGCTTTTGCGGCGTGCAGCTGGGCCCGAAAGGCCGTCGCGCCCCGGGGCTGCCCGGTCGGCGGGTGGCGTCGCGGGTTGCGCAGTGCACCGGGGAGCCTTGCTGCCCCGCGCGTCGCCGCAGAGCCTTGAGGCGCGCATGGATCTGGCGGTCCACGCGGCAGGCGTCGCGGCGCCACTCCTGATCGGCCTCGCGGTCGTGGGCGCCACCCAGCAGGATGCCCTGGCGAACGGGGCGGCGAGGCGGGTCGGGGCCGCCGCCGCTACGGCCGAGCGCCGGCCTGGCGCGCCGAAGATCCCGTTTGGCGTGGAAGACCGCGGGCGATTCGGCGAGGGCGCGGCGGCTGGCAGCTGGCGCCCACGGGAAGCGCGGCGGTTCCGCGGCCATCCGGCAGCTGCAACAGAGCCTGGGCAGCGTGCTGCAACGGCACGCCGCGGACGGGGTTCTCGCGGCGACGCAAGCCTGGCCGTGGCGGGACGCCGCCGCGCTGGCGCCAGCGCCGCCTGGGGCCGCGGCGCAGCCGCCAGGAGGAGCTGGGGCGCAGCCAGGCGCGGCCCATAGCTGAGGCCCCCAAAGCGCGCTGAGCGCCCAGCTGCTGGCCAGACGGCGCGCAGGCTGCGCTGAGCGGCGCGGGGCCTCGGCCCCGCGCTGGGGCGGCACTGGGCGGGGCCGGCGCGGCGCAGGGCCGGCGGCGGCGCGCTGAGCAGGGAGGCGGCTGAAGTGGCGCTGGGCTGCGGACAGCGCTGCCGCCGGCGCTGGGGACACGCTGGGCGCGACGCTGCGGGGCGCCGCGCTGGGCGCTGGACGGACGCGGCTCTGGCGGCGCAGGGCGCGGGGCGGCTGAGCTGGCAGGGCCGGCCCTGGGCGCTCGACCAGTGGCGCTGACCTGACCGAGGTAGGGGGCGCCCAGGCCGGGCGCGGGCGGGGGCGCCGACCCGTACGACGCTGCCGCGGCCGCGGGGCGCCGCGGCGGGGGCGGCGGCGAGGGCGTGGCCGCCCGGAGTGCGGGGCCTTGCTCGCGGGCCACCGAAGGCTCCTGCAGGGCGCTTGAGGGAGCACGCGGGCGACTGCGTTGTCCTGCCGGTCCCCGTGGGGCTCCCGGGCATGCGAGGCCCCAGCTGGCTAGCTGGCAGACCACTCCCCCGCCAGGAGTGACCGCTGCCTCGGGCAGCCCGCCACCCCCCGGTGTGCCGCCCCATTTTAAATGGGGCGGCGGAGGAGTCTGCCGGTTCCTGATCAAAGCGCGCCGGCCGCGGGAGAAACTCGCGCGCGCCGCTTGGGAGTGGACGAGGACGAGGACGAGGAGGGAGGAGGAGGAGGAGGAGGAGGAGGAGGAGGGGAGGAAGGAGGAGAGGAGGAGGAGGAGGAGAGGAGGAGGGGGAGGAAGAGGAGGGGAGGAGGAGGAGGAGAGGAGGAGGGGAGGAGGAGGAGGAGGAGGAGGAGGAGGAGGAGGAGGAGAGGAGGAGGAGGAGGAGGGGGGACGAGGAGGGGGAGCAGGGTTCCCCCGCAGCTCCCCCGCCCCTCTCCGAGGGGGCCGCGCCGAAGTGCGTGGCTGGCGAGGCCGCTGGATGCGCCGAAGGCCCGCGGCGCCCCGATTCTCCGCAGGCTCGCGTTTCGGCGGCGCTCCTAAGCGGGAGTCACGACCCGAGTCCCGAAGCCGTGCGATCATCCCCGAATCCCCACGGGTATGGCCAGGGCCCCATGTGATGGGAGCAGGTGGGTGAGAAGGCCCCGAAACCCAAACAACATTCGGAGATCACTAAGCCAGGTCTGCCGTAGCGTGTTTTTCGGGCGACGGCAATTCCAGCCAGTGGAGTGGGGCGAGTGAAGCGCCCGAGTCCCAGAACCGGGCGGTTACCTTCAATCCCCACGGATTTTTTCAAGGAAGGAAAGACGGCATAGACAAGCTTTCGACGGCCCGCGCGGACTTTTTGGATCAGCGCTGGGCCGCCGATCTGGGCGTTCAGCGCAGATCCACGAAATCTGCGTGGACCTCAAACAGATTATGCTTATGTCGTTGTTGCTCTTCTAGATTCACTACACTGTGTGGCCACTCCGCCGTTTGGGGGCTTCACAGATGTCAGGGGCCACCCGCTCGGTCCTCGCGCGCCTTGCCCGGGGACGGTTCTCTCTCGCACCAGCCGATGAGGTCTCGTGTTTCGGCGGTGTGCCCTTCTCTTTTTTTTTCTCCTCAAAATTGCGTATATATAATTATTTGTCTCATTCGTTTTTTATATTTATTTAAAAAATGTTATTCGCCTTCTTAGCATTGCTAGTTTTATTCGCATGCTTCTTCTTAATAACATCATTACTACTATCATGCTTGTTATTATTGGTCTTACTCGCATTTCTGTTTGGCTCGTGTTTCAGTGGGTTCCGTCCTCTTCTTTCTCTTCTCGCCTCTTGTTCTTCCACTTCGCGCCTGTATTCGCTTCTGGTGCAACCCACCTGACCGTCTCGCACACCCTGGCGCCCGCGGAGTTAAAACGTTTTGTCGGCTTGCCCGGGAGGAAGCGAGAAGGTTCATGTGAATCAATTCGATGGTTGTGGTGGGAGACACTTAGTGATATTTAGGTCAAGTCCTCGTAGATGGGGTCGTAGCAGATGGGGTCGGAGGATCGCGCCGCATCGCCGATGCATCGGCGATGAGGCTCGATGTGGGGCCGAGTTTCTCCGTGCCGACGTCACCGATGCACCGCCGACGTCGCCGATGCATCGGCGATGCGTTGGCGAGAAAGTTTTTCGGGCGTCTCGTCGCCAGCGCTCGACGGCCTTCCAGCCCTTGGATGCTTGCCAGCAGCTGCACCTCGCCGAGAGCGTTCTGCTGGCTCCCGGATCGTCCCGAACGGCCGCCAGAGACCCGAGTTCTGTCCCAAAAGCAAAATTCGGCGGCGCACCCAGGGGGAAGTGAGAGGGAGCAGGCCTTCTCAGAAGGCAGCGGGGCTTACGAGAAATGAGAAGGGTCATGTGACAGAGGTCGGTCAAAACGTTGTTCTGGCACCCTCGTGGGTCGTTCTCGTTTTCTCTTCGCTTGCCTGTTGTTTACATCATGGGGCTCATCATTGGCAAATAACGACGTCGACGGCTGGGGTGGGAGTCGACACTATGCGATACTTAGTTCGAAGCACGAAGCCGCATATACATAAACTTTGGGAACTCCACGCGGATTTCTTGGATCTGCTTTGGGCCCCCCTGACGGCGCTGAAGGCGCGCCAGGGAGGATGACTCAGCGCCGATCCAAGAAATCCGCGCGGACCTCCGAAAGTATGTGTTTGTATAGTTGTTGTTTCTCCTGGTATCTGGTGACATTTAGTTAATTCAGGCACCGATCCACCCTTAGTGAAAATATTCATGTTCCCTAATCAGCGTTTGTACTAAAGGGGACGTCGCGTATATTTCTGAATTTGGAGGAAGTCCTTAGCCGATTTCGGTGGGTGGTTGGGTTCATGGCTCCCGATTCCCAAGTTCCCAGTTCTGGGTTCTGGGCCGGTTTCAGTGGGCGGTTGGGTTCCCGGGTGCCTGGTTCCCGATTCTCGAAATTGCGGCCAGGCATAGTGCCTGCCCACCTTTCAGACCGTAATGAGTGAGGTTTTCTCTGGCTGGGGTGGGAAGTCGACATTCTTGACGCTTCGCGTATCCCCACCAGGCCCGCCGTTAGTCGCGGCCGCAGCCCGACCGCGACCGCCCGCCGCTGGCGCTTCCGCCTGCGGCTGAAAAAAAAAATATCCCCACCAGATTCACACCGCCCTCTGGACTTTTCCTTGCGGGCCGCGAATCAGAAAGTATCCCCACCAGATATGAGGACGCACCTGGCTTCGCGCACGTGGTTCTGACGTGGTACCTCGCTTCGTTCCCCCCTCCACCGTGGCAAGGAAGGTGCAAGCTGGGACTCTGGCTTCGAGCACGTGAGGTGTTCTGTGAGTGAGGCCTGGTTTCCTCCCCCCCCTCCCCTCGTCGCCGCCCGCGCCTGTCCTCGCCGCGTTTGGCGGTGCCTTTCCTCGGGCTCTGTGCTGCCCGCACAGCGCCCCCGCTTTCTCGCAGGCTTGTTCTGTGGGGGCTGGCGCCACAGTGCGACCCTCCGCCGGCTTTCCAGTTTGCTGCCTTCCCTCCCCGGGTCGGCTCTAATGAGGTTCATTTTGTCCCTCGCACGTGCATTGCGGCGTTGGCCTATGTGCCTTCGTTGCCAATCGTCTCGCATTGCGCCCCTGTCGAGATTGACCCGCTCCCTGGAGCCGTCTTCGGAGCCGCAGATCAAGAACGTATCCCCACCAGCTGTTCCCCCCGCGGTCGCAGAGGACCCTCAGCAAGGAACGGTGGAGGGATCACAGTGGTCACAGTACTCACAGCGTCTACATTGGCGTCGCCCCGCCTTCCTCCTCCGTCTATTTACTGGACTGTGCGGCTATCGGCTGCGTCTCCCCTCCTCCTCCTCCTCTCGTGCTGATGCGGCGCGCAGTGCCGCACGGATTCCCCCCTTACCGAGGCTCCACTGGAGCGCTCAGGCATCTATGGGTGGACTCCAAAGTGCGTTCGGGCTGTTTTGCTGCCATATGTTGTTTTGGACAGCCAGGGTCTGCAGCAGTATGTCCCCGCCGGTACGTCTCCTCCAGCCCTTGGGGCGGGCGCGGTACGCCCCATTGGAGTGGGAACGGTTCGCGGCGCTCCAGGGGCCGGGCTACGGCATGGTGCAGCCTGGCGCGCCACCCCCCTCCGGCACCACCTGGGGCCGGACCTGAGGTGAGCGCTGCCCCGTCAAGTGGTTCATCCTTTGGCAGGTCGCCGTTGTTCCCCCATCAGGTCCGCCCCTGCTACCTCGGTTGACGCTCGCATCTTTGTGCCCCCGTCCCCCTGTGACGGATAAGCTGCCCGCGTTGTATGCCGACGACTTGGTTGTCTCGCTTTCCCACGGCGGACGCCTCCTTCGAGCTCTTGCTTCTGCACAAGTGGTGTATCCTTTGGCAGTGCTTCTCGGCCCTCCCGCAGGGTGGTCCGTGGTGCTCGACCAATGCTTGCAGCTGTATCCCCCCGGCTTCAGAGCCAGGCTGTTGCAGGTTGTGGACACGGAAGACTGGGACGGCAGACAGGGACGACTTTTCCTGCATAGGTCGGTCGCTCTTGCCCCAGCACTTCCAGGAGTCTTTGTGAGTGAGGCGTTCTTCGGTTCCCCCCTCTTCTGTCCTCGCGTGCCCTCGCGCCCGCCGCCTTTCCCCGCTCCTTCGCCTCCTCGTCGTGTTGGACGGTGCGGCCTCATTGGCCCTCTGTGCTGCCACAGCGCGGCGTGGCCCACGCCGTTACGCGCTGGTCGGCACGGGCTGAGCTGGCGCCACTGTGCGACTCCTCCTCCGTCAGTTTCCTTCTGATGCCCGCGTCCCCGCTTCCGGGTCGCCTGCATCTTAATGGGGGGCATTTTGTCCCTGGCACCTGCACATGCTGCGTCGGCCTATGTGCCGTCGTTGCTAATTATATCGCCTTGTGCCCCAGCCGAGACCGTCCCGCTTCCTGGATCTGTCCTGGAGCCGCCAGTCAAAAAAAACGTATCCCCACCAGCTCCCTCGGCGGCAGCTCTGGCAGCCGTGAGTGCGCTCGCTGGTTGATTAGGTTTCGCCCGCAGCCCGGGACGACTTCTGACGCCGCCTGCGCCTTCGCTTGCGGCCGCGACCCCACCAAAAAATCCCCACCAGCGGTACGCTGGACTATTTGCTCAGTCCCGCGCTATGCCGTGCTCTGCTCGGTGGCACGTTTGCCTCTGGCGCCTGGCGCGACAAGGTACAATTCGTTTGCACTCCTGGTGCTCTCGCCCCTGGGTTGGTCGCATGTCCGCCGCCTGGCACAACCGGCACCTCTTGCAGCTCCGCCTTCAGTCTCCAGCGTCCCTCGGCGGCAGCTCCGGCGGCCGTTAGTTCGAGCGTTTAGGTAATTTGGTTTGGCTCGTAGCCCAAGCTGAGTTCGGACGCCGCCTGCGCTTTCGCTTGCGGCCGCGACGTGAAAGTATCCCCACCAGGCCATCCAGAGACGATGCCCATGAGAGCTGACGGGGGGAGAGAGGAAGAGACAAGCATAGTCAAACAGTGAGGGAGGCCTGCCTTGACGGCGCGTTGGGGCCATCTCCGGGTTCGCGTTGGGGGGGGCGAAGAGGAGGAGGAGAAGGAGGAGGAGAGAGGAGGAGGAGGGAAGAGGCAAGAGGAACAAGACGAGGAGAAGGAAAACGAGGATGAGGAGGACGAGGACTAAGAGAGAGTGAGGAGGAGGAGGAGGAGGAGGAGGAGGAGGAGGAGGAGGAGGAGGAGGAGGAGGAGAGGAGGAGGAGGAGGAGAGGAGGAGGAGGAGGAGGAGGAGGAGGAGGAGGAGGAGGAGAGAGGAGAGGGGGACGGGAATGAGAACGAAGGAGGAGACGAGAGGAGGAGGAGGGAGGAAGGAGGAGGTGGAGGGAAGAGGAGGAAGAGGAGGACGAGGAGGAGGAGGAGGAAAATGAAGGACGAGGACGAAGGATATGGACGAGAACGAGAGGACGAGGAGGAGGAGGAGGATGAGGAGGATGGGGTTTCTTGGGGCGCTCTTGGAGCTCTCTTTGGAGCCTTT